GATCGAAGTACGGGACGGCGCTGTGCTCGCCCATCGGATGCGCCGACGTGCGCCCGCGATAATCCTCCAGATGCTTGATGACCTCGGCGGGCGCCGCGTCGGCGATCAGCGGGCGCCCGCGCGTTGAGTCGGGGGGGCTCGCCAGGTCGAGCTTGAAGGGCGCGACCCTTGTCGGACAGCCCGCCGTCTGATGCGGCGAGTGACCTCGAAGCAACTTCCTGGAGGCCGCCTCGTTGCTGCGGTCGAAGAGACGCGGGCGCCAGCTGGCAGCCAACTCACGCGCCCTCCGCCGGGCGTCCGCCTGCATCGCGTCGGTCGGGACGTCGGGGCCGTTCTCGGCCTGCAAGAAATTCCTGCTGCCCGCCATCCAGTTCAGCGCCCGCGACGCGTCGTTCGCCATGGCAAAATGCTCCTGTCCACGCCTGGGGCGCGTCGTCTCTGGCGTCGGCGGCGGAAGCGGGGGCGGGCTTCGCTGCCCCCGCGTAGCCGCCAATCTGAGGCGGCCGCCAGCCCCCTCGTGTCGGCCAGGGACGGGGGGCTACCCGGCCGAAACGCTCGTCGTGGCGCCATGGGGGCGGTGGTGCCTGCGCCGCGGCCTCGGCCGCCGCCGCCGCGGCGCCGCCCGCCCCCGCCTCCTCCTCCGTCGGCGCCGTCGCTGCCCTGCCCCCCTCCAGACCACAGGCCTCCGACATCGTCGCGTGGTCCGGTGGGGGGGCCCCCCCCGGCGCCCCTTGCCCCTCTCGATTCTCCCGCACCTTGCGCGCCACGTGCGCGCGCATAGACTGGCCCGCCAAATCTCCGGCTGACTGCGCGCCCGCGTAGTACTTGGCGGGATCCCACTGCGCCCTCTTGGGGCTGGCGTGCTCCGCCACGATGGCAGCCAGCCGTTTGCATGGCGCTTCCAGCGCCATCAGGCCATCAAGGGTCACCTGTTCATAGCAGCCCGCCATGTGTAAGGCTCCACATATGCCGCGAAGCGCGCGTGCGACGCGGCCCGCGGGTGCCAGTCATTTCTCGCGGAAGTGCTCCCTAAGCCACAGGCGGCGATTCGCTCCAACCTTCAACATATTCTTGCACGTCGTCGAGGCGTTGTGCGGGGCGTCCATCGGCTGATCGCTGAACTCCTCCTGGGTGCTCTCATGCACCGCATCGCGCCAAGGTTTGAAACGTTCCCCCCTGGCCGTCAAAGTCCACCGCCAACAGTCGAACATCCTCGCTGACGACGGGCGCCTGAGGCTTGGCAGAGTCGGCTGCCTCGACTGCGGGGGGAGTCGGGTCGCGGCCAAACCGCTCGCGGAGGTGAACGCCCTCTGGCTCCAGCGTGGGACCTACCCCCAGCATCTCTCGCAGCGCTGTGGACCGGATGTCAGCGTAGACTGGGACGTCCTCGAGCGGCATCCTCGCCACCCGCTCGTACTGTCCCTCCAGAAACACGAGGCCAACATCCACGAAGGGATGTCGCCGAATGTCCGCCGCGCTCCCGATGGCCGATGCCGACGCAGGCTCCGCCAAGACCCACACGTGGCCCGCCAGGAGCGGCAGCGGCGGCTCCACACGCGGCGGGGTGTCGGTCCCGCCCACGCGTGCCCCCTCGGCGTCGGCTGTCACCACGGCCAGGGGCGCCTTGCCTCGAACTCGACGAGCAGAGGTCCGTGGGAGACGACCTTCGAAGAAACGGCCCAGAGGCAGCAAACCGCCTCCGGGCTCCTGCACCTGCTCTGGCAGGAGCGGCTCCTGGCCAGCTCTACGCTCCGCTTCGCACGCCCGAAGATCTCGCAGGATCCCCTCGCGCAGCTCCGACGCACAAATCCGCTCGAGGAAGCGATGCAGCGGCCGACGTCTCCTCCCCCGTCGACGCGGCGGGGCAGAACCATCAGCTACCAGCGGGTAGCAGCGCGTCGGGCCGTCGCTCGGGTCCTGGCACGCCACGTCCTGGAAGTACTCGTCCCCGTCAGGGTTGCGGATCCACCAGATCCCCCCTCCAAGAGGGTAGAGGAAGACCCTCTCATGGTCCACGTCGTCTCCGTCGTACTCCATGGCCACGTACTGGCCCGGCAAAAGCTCACTGTACCACTCCTCCTCCTCGCCGAATGGGAGCAGCGACATGCCTCTCCGCAGCGCCGCCGCACTTGTTCACCGCGAAACCGATGAGGTTGGTGAGCGCCGAGGGGCCCACAACGCCGACGAGCACGCCAGCCGACGCGGGCTCCGCCGCCGCTGGGGCCGCGCACGCGCAGGGTGGGCACGGCGGGCAGGCTGGGCACACCAGCGTCGGCGGGCAGACCGCCCCCAGCCACTCGGGCGGGCCTGCAGGGCACCAGTCCACCGACGGAAAAGGCGGCGGTGGCCAGGCCGAGTTCGACCGCCTGCCACCCGGCCCAGGCAAGCCCCAGCGCGAAGACAGCGATCGGGGACCGGTCCGAGGATTGGACCAAAGCCACGAACGCCTCTGAGAGAGACAAAGAGGTTTGAACATAACTGTGGCAACCGGAGACAGCAACCGCACGCACTTCCCTTCACCTTCCCGTGCAAGCACACACACATAACATACTACCATGCCACAACATATCACACCGCAGCACGGCATCAAGACACGGGCACCTCCATAACATGATTCATCATACCATGACAGAGAGTGGCATAACTCCCGGCTGCACGCAAGAGCGACCTCAGGCAAGAGTGGCCTTTGGTGCGCGGCTTTGGGGGGGCGCGATGGGGGACGAGTCCGAGCGCGCAGGCCGCTGCCATCGCACCTCATTCAGCGATCGGGGCGTCCCAGTGGGCCCGCACCAAAGGTCACTCGGCCGAAGGGTCACTCTTACGTGTCGTCGATGGTCCCCCGAGTCCCGGCGGACCTTGCCCTCCAGGCGGCCCCACGAGCCGCCGAGAGCCGAGGCTAGAACATCGACGAGAACCGACGAAGACGCCCTAACACATCGAACCTCGAACACACTTGTGCTCCCTGGCGGACCTTGCCCTCCAGGCGGTCCCGGGGCCCAATGACTGGCGGGCCACCGAAGCCGAAAACCATGAAGCACGCCCCGACTGAACACACCATCCAGTGCGGGCGCGGCCGCAAGAAACCCTCGCAAGAAGCCCAACCCTGAGAACCCGTGCGCGAGGTGCACCTGAGGGGAAACCTGGAGCACCCTGAACGCAGCAGATGCTTCAACGGCTTGCGGAAAGTCACCGCGAAGCGCGAGGAGCGAAGAAACCCAGGGTACCCTGACGAAAAGCAGATGGTTTCTTGATGCGCGCCCCCGCTGTATCGTCAAAGATCTGGGCTTGCCTCATCGCGGACCCTCCCCTCCAGGCGGGCCAACTGCTCGGCCGGCCCGAGGCTGGACAACATCCCGAGGCCGAGAAGCCGCTGAGGACCGACGAAGACGCCCGAACGCCTCGAACCTTGGAGAGCCGCCTGTCTCCCTCGGGAAAACACGAGGTCCGCGCGGATTCCTCGGATCGGCGCTGGACCCCCCTCCCTGGCGCGCCAGAGCCCCAGCGCCGACCCGAGGATTCCGCGCGGATCTCCGAGCTGTGTTATGTGTGTGCAATTGCTTGTTCCCCGAAGCCACCGACTACAACAGCTCCCCGACTCCCAGCCTGGACCTTGCCCCCCAGCCGCTTGGCCAGCCCGAGGCTGGAAAACATCCCGAGGCCAGGAAAACGCCGAGAACCGACAAAGACAGTCCATATCGCAGATGGCTTTGGCTCTGGCTCTAGCCATTCCACGACCCCCTCCCACCATCCATCGAGCAGGACCCAGCTGCTTTGGCCGGCAGGCGCTCCATATGTCGCGGCGCCGCTCGTCCTCGACACGCCCACATCGACGACGCGGGCACCACGGCAAACCCACGGCAAACACTGCGTCCTGCGCCCCAGGTAGACGACGCCAGCACCGCGGCAAACCCCACGGCAAACCCGCCGCGCCCGAGGCGGCGTTTGCCCTGGTGGCCGAGGCTCCCGAAACGAGACGCAAGGCCGCGAGTCGGAACAAACGGCGCGGCGACATGTCGCAAATGGCCTTGGCTCTGGCTATATTCCACGACCCCCCATCCATTAGCATGGGGAAACGGGTCCTCAGGGAAACGGGTCCCGGACTCTGGAGCCTTCCCCCGAGACTCTGGTCCTTCTGAGTCGTTTTCTGACCGTCCAGGGGCCCGTGGAGGGCCCCGAGAGCCTGAACACGACAAAAAAACCCAGGACCCGTTTCCCTCAGGACCCTCTTCTCCCATGGCGACATCCATTGTAGACGAGCGTGTTCCACGACTCGTAGAATTACCTGCTCGCAAACGGCCTGGATCCGCCGCGCGGGACCTACGATGCATTGCATCAGTGCAGACATGAAAATATCCCGGACGTGCGGGCACTCTGCGTGTAGTGGTACGCGCTCGGGGACAGTAGGACTCGAGCAGGGACCGACCGTCCCGGCATTCCTGTAGTCCTACCACGAAATGCGCTTAGAACCCACAAATGTTCTAACAACAAAAACAATGTTCTTAGAGCATAAACCCGATGTGATCAAACAAGACAGACTCCGCCAGAAATGTTCCAATACTGCTTCGTGGGAGCCAGAGAAAGGTTCTTAGAACATTGTTTGGTAGGGCGATCGGCGAGCCAGGACGCTTCGCCACTGCTTGAAGGACCTTGCCCTCCAGCCGGTCCAGCCGGCCGGCCCACCAATGAATGGCGTCCCAAACCAACAGCGGCCGCTGTTGGGCAGGCGGCCTTCTGTCTTAGATGGACATAGGCCGCAGGAGGCGCGGACAGCGAGCTCTGTTCAGAATGAACAAAATTCGGGGATGGACAGACCCGCCTTTAGCAAAACGTGGTTTAGTGAAAACGACCTGAGGCCCAAACCTGGCGGGCGCGAGCCTGGAAAATCACGGCCGCGGCGCCCAATCGACGTGTCACTGTTGGGGGTTCTGTCCAGCCCCGAAAAATCCGCTGTTGGGCATTGTGCCCACTCTTTCCGTGCCCACTTCGCTCGTGCAGAGGACCTTGCCCTCTATCCGGTCCAGCTGCTCGGCCAGCCGGCGCTCCACGCTCGCCAGCAGCGGCTCGGCCGCAGGCGGGCCCCCGGCGCGCGCGCCGTGCGGCTCCGCGCCGTCGCGCCGTGCGGGGCTCGGGCTGCTGTGGCCGTCGCTGGCGCGCTGCCGCCGGCCCGCCGAGGCCGAGGGCGACGGGGTCGGCGGGTCCGCGGGGAGGAAAACCACCTTGGGACAAGCGCGTTCCGCTGCTGAGAGGGGCGCGGGGGTTGCTCAGGGAATACAATCGGCCTTGATTGGACAGGACACGCAAGAGGGCACAATAGGAGTGTGAGAAGGCACGTGTCGCGAGGCACAGGACACAAGGGTACCCTTGATTTGGCAGGGTCGACCTACTAATCGGGGCCGACTGTAGGAGGGTCATCAGTGGATGCCAAGGCGGGCCCTATCTGGCCGAACCTGGCTCACTCGTGGGTTGCGAATGCCCCAAAGGGCTTGGGGGGGGATAGCGATCCAGGGTAAGTGGGCGCCGCCCACTCAGCGGAGTTGTCTAACCCTCCTAAGCCACTTGGGACATGCGTAGCCCACTTATAAATTAGGTTTGGCCAGGTATAACCCCTTCGGCGTCCACTGATCGCCCCCCAATCCCTTTAGCACCCCCCGCGCCCATCCCAGTAGACAGGCGCGCTCCACTACTCGAAAATTAGTTACTCGGGAATGGCCCGGACCCGCCACGGGGGCTTCACGGTCCTTGCATTGAGGCAAGCATGTGGTTTTGTCGGACTGTGCGAGTAGGCACTTTGCGAGCAGGACTTTCGAATAGAAGATCGACTACATCCTTTGTTCAAGTACCCCAATCTGTTCGTCGAGTCTACGAAACATGCGTAGCATGTTCCGTACATCCATGGAGCAGCCTGCGCACGTATCTTACACTCGGCAGAAAAACCAAGTTTGTGGTACATCAATTCTGCAGTTGATCTCCTACTCGAGCCTTTGCGCCGCCAGGAGGCACCCCCCCCTCCCCTCGCTGCGGACAAAATTTCGGCGGTTGTTTTGGAGCCGTTTTCGACCTCCAGGGGCCCTCGCTGGGCCCTGGGGCCGTCAAGAAACGATCCGGGAGGAGGAACCGGTCCCGGGGAGGGGGTCTCAACCTCACACACCAGTAATTCTTACTTGGTGGCGCGCACTTGACATTACTCTTTACTTGGGCCCCTTCGCCCAAGCCGGGCACCATGTCACATAGTTTTTCTCGTGGCGCGGGCGCTGTGCCTCTGGCGGCCGCTAAGGGCGATCCGGGAAAACGCGCTCCACGGGCCGCGGCCGCTGGAGGGGCGCCCCGAGGCCAAAAAAGCCGCCGACAGAAGCGACGACAACGCCAGAACACCTCGAGGAGGGACAGGACATTGGCCGTCGCCGTCGCTCGGACGTCCTTTCCCCGTACATGTTTCGATTCTGTGCGAGTCTTTTGTTCGCAGGATGGTCCGAGCTGCCCCTCGATGGTCCTCGCTCAAAAATGCACACGTGCGAGCGATGCCAAGTGCCCTTGACCTTCGGTCGGGCATGTCCCTCCACATGCGGGTTTTGGAAGAAGAGTGATGATACATTAGCCAAAAGATAGCCAAATATGTTCAAACATAGTCGAAACGTCGCCCCCGGATTATGTTTTGCCTATTCTTGGAGACCCTTCCTGCAGAGGGACACGCCCGACGCACCCCCTGACCGCCTCCATTCGGGTCGGGCGAAAGGGGGGGATAGCAAAAGGGAGGGTTTGAGAATCAGCTCACGTAGCTGATTCTCCCAGCGCCTCCCGGCGCCGGGAGGCGCCCATGTATCGAGGAGTGGGCCCGGCGGCGGGGCCGAAACCGGCTGCACGCAGCAGATTTCGTAGCCCCCCCTTTCCCTATCACCCCCTTTCGTTCGGCCCGACTGTTGAGGCCAGCCGGGGCTACCTTGGGGGGAGGGGGAGGCTGCCCTGTGCGCAACCCGAAGCCTTACCAGGGGAAGACCTGATCTGGCGCCGATCCAGAGCTATGACGTCCTGATTGCTCACAGCGTCGCCCCCCGAAAGGTCTCGACCCCCGAAGGTCTCGGCCCCTTTCGCTCGGCCCGCCTCCATGGACCCCGCGCCCGCGCTCGACGGGTCGGCCTGCGGGCCCTCCGCCCGCCGCAACTCCGCGCCCTCTCCGCGCCGCTCCGCGGGGCTCGGCTCGTCGCCCGCGGGCCGCCGCCCGCGCTCCGAGGCCGACCGCGACGGGGTCGGCGGGTCCGGGGGGAGGAAGAGTACCTCCAGCAGAGGATCGACTGCAGAGCTCTGGCTCTTGCCCCCACGGTGTCGACGAGCCTGCGCGGAACCTGCGTGGCCTGTTCCGCAGATCTGCGGGGCAACCCGCGCAGGCATCTTGGACTCGGCAGAGGGGTCCAGCTCTGTGGTAGGCCAACTCTCTGGTCGATCTCCTACTCGAACCTGTGCGCCGCCTCCTGCGCATGCATCTTAGATTCGGCAGAGGGATTCAGTTCTGTGGTAGGCCGATTCTCTGGTCGATCCCCTACTCGAACCTGTGCGCCGCCAGGAGGCATCCCCCCGCCACCCCTCGCTGCGGCCAAAATATCGCGGCGATCGTTCCGTGGGGCCACTTGCGGCCACGCTCCAGGGGCGATTGGAGAAAACACGGGGGGGGGTGCTTGGAATAATGGGCAGCTGCCGCTGGGCAACACTGCGGAGATGACGATCGAACAATCTCAGCGACCACGACGGCGTCCACGAGCGGGCGAATCTGTTAATCATAACCCAGGGCGCTGCTGCGTGACTGTCCCCCCCAGACATTCCTCGCAGCCGAACCATGACCACAATAGCAGTCGTCGAGGACACGCGCCGCTTCGATCAGGGCCCAAGGCCCCAACAACAGATGACATAAACGTACAGCGAACCCGTGTCATAAGAACGCGCAGTAAGGATGTCGACACTCTGCGAGCGGGGCGCGTCCAGCGACAGCGGCCAAAGATGGGCCGACGGGGCAAGGATGCGAGGGCTAGCCTTGGAAAGTTGCTCATCCTTCGTGTGCGGGCTGATTGTGCACGCGACCACACACAAACTTCCGGAGGTCCACGCAGACTTCGTGGATCGGCGCTCGGCGCCCCACACGGCGCCTCCGGCCGACACCCCTGGCGCGCTCCGCGCTCCAGGGGAAGGGGGCCCAGCGCCGGTCGGAGAAATCTGCGCGGACCTCCGAACAGTTAGGTCTGTACCGTGCTTGCGTCCCCGACCCCTGATTCTGCAGCAACAAAACACGTCCAAGAGAGGAGAGCCCCGAACACGAGCAGAAAGACGAGGGCGCCCCTGCGGATCGAGGGCTGCTCTCGGTCCTCGCGCGAGCTGCAGCCGTCATCCGAGAGAGGATTCGAGGCGGGGCGAGGGGAGACAGCGGCAGCTCAGAATCGGCCCCTCGACTCCTGCTCCTCCTCCCCCTCCCCCTCCCCCCTCCTCCTCCTCCTCCTCCTTCTCCTCCTCCTCCTCCCCCTCCTCCTCCTCCCTCCTCCCTCCTCCTCCTCCGCCTCCTCATCCTTCTTCTTCTTCTCCTCCTCCTGCTCGTACTCCTCCTCCTCCTCCTCCTCCTCCTCCTCCTCCTCCTCCTCCCCCTCCCACGGTCCAGGCGCACCTGTCTTCTGAGCTGCGTCCAGCTGTGGCGACGAGGGACCCCCCGCGACAGGCCCACTACCGCTGTCAATGTATACGCTTCTCGATGTATGCGTGTCTTCCGTGCGCAGGGGCGCAACTCAACTTCTCTCCATCGTTCCAAGTTTCAGAGGCGGTCCCCGAAGAAAGCCAGTCGCCGTCCTACATTCGGATGAGATAGCTGGGCAACGCACACTCAAACCTACAGGGAGGAGGAACGGGGACGATTGAGGCGATGAGGATGCTGTAGGTAAGGGTGCGATGTGTCGGAAACAATGGGGGGGGGCTCCCGGTCGAGCGGGGGACCCCATCGGACAGCATACACCCTCAGGCCCCTCCCAGAAATCCACCCCGAGAAATCTGAGAATCGCATAGTCCAAGGGGCTACAGTCGTACCTAGGCCAACAAAAACATCCTGCAAGAACGTGCGACCCTCCGCTGGCCAAAATGAAGAGAATCCAGAGGTACTCTTCTCCAAGATGCACGAGAACATCCAACAACCACGAAGAACACATTGGGGCACCCTCCCCGAACCGACCTCGAGTTTACGCCTCGGCCCGACTGTAGTTGTCAGCTCATGCCATCAGGTGAGCGTTTTCCTGTTCGGCGTTTCGACATTGGGCGGAAGGGGGGGGGGAAGTGGGGGTGTCCGGTGTCTGGCTCCGGACCTCTGCTTAGTGCGGCTGTCTGCAGCCGTGCGTCCTATGGGGTAGAGACTCCACCTGCTTGAAACAGGCGACAAACATAGCCAAGATCTACTCCATGGGGGGGGGGGAGCGAGGGCCCGCGCCGATCAGGTCAGGTCAGGTCGGGTAGAGCCTTGCACCAGACGGTGCGTGAGCAGGATAAACACATGGAGAACATACAGACGCCTTCCGTATCCTCTCCGGTTTTTGACAGCCAGCTCCCACTCGCGCGCTGCACCGACCTCTGGGCGGAGGTAGTCAGCGAGGCGCGCGTGTGAGCCGGCAACTTCAATGCAATTGCGCGCTACGAGATGCGAAAACAAATCATGAACAAAAACAGTCACCAGGGATTCTCTGGCGGCGGATGCCTCGCTCGGCTCGAGCTGGTGCACGGGCACGTGCGGGCGGCCCGCCTCCATCCCCGAGCGCGGGGGAGCCGCGGCGTGGAAGGCCGCTCCTTGCAGGCCTGAGCCAGCACGGCCCGGCACGGTTGCGTATGGTAGCCACGACGGTTGTCTGTGATGCCCAGATCTCGGACGACGACGGCGACAACGACGACGACGACGACGACGACGACGACGACGACGACGACGACGACGAGCATGGCAAAGCGACACCAACATCACCAAGGACCACCAGCGAGCGGAGCCCGGGGGGTCTCCCCGGTGGTGTACACCCTCTCCCACTCGAGACACCCCCAGCTCGAGGAGGCATCGTGGACTCCTCACTGGAGGTGACCAACCTTGTGGTGGTGGTGTGGCTACTCCTTCCCCCGAAGCTCGGACGATGTGGATCTTCCAATCCCAGCATCGTCCCGAGATTTCGGCCTGTGGGTCCCGCTTTCGGGCCTTGGGCCCTCAGAAACGGATCCGGCACGAAACGAAACTACCCCCAGGTGAGGAGTCGGGCCCTCTGGGGCCGCGCATTGCACAAAGCACACCGTCGTACTTGTCAGATTGGTGAGCGAGGTGACTAAACATGGGGATCACAGTGATCCAGTGGATCACGAAGGCGAGCGAAGGCACGCGCAACACCTCGCGAACCAAGGGAGGCTCTATGGCCACTAAACCCCGTGGCCCCGTGGCAGTTTGTTTTCTCACCGCAGCAGCGAACACGATGATTCCAACCTCGAGGACAACATACCTCCACAACATGACTGCGCCGCACTGGGAGACAGAGGAGCGGATGGCTGCTGTTTGCTCGGGCCTCTCCACTCAATGGTTTCTGGAACAACTTGCGCCACACGGAGCAAACCTCCAGTGCCGAACGGACCGCGCAGTGAACTCCGATACAGTCGGCCCGTATCATAAGGATGCGCGATAAGGATGCAAAGGCTTTAGACGCCCATTTCGAAGCTTTCCGAGCGGGGCGCGGCCAACGAAAATGGCCAAAGATGGGCCGAGGAGGCAAGGATGCAAGGGTACCCTTGGGAAAGTTGCCCATCCTTACTCTGCGGGCTGACTGTAGACGGCAGAGGTGCCGACCGACTGACCAAACCGTCCACCCTCTGCCTGGCATCCGCCAAACGAGGGGGACGGCAGCGCAAACCATGGTGTGCGCGGAGTCTCCAGGTCCTCGGAGGTCGCCCGCAGGGCCAAGGGTGGCCAAAGGCTCCGATCCTCGGTCCTCCTCCAGGCGGGGACGCGGGTCCTCCTCCTCCTCATCCTTCTCCTCCTCCTCCTTCCTCCTCCTCCTCCATCCTCTATCTTCTTCCTCGATCCTCGATCCTCCTCCAGGCGAAGTCGAGGCCCCTCCTCGATCCTCGATCCTCCTCCTCCTCCTCACCATCCCCGATCCCCCTCCTCGATCTTCGGTCCTCCTCCCCGATCCTCCAGGATGGACCGATGTGTCTTTGGCTAGTCCCACGGTCGACTGACGGCACGACGGTGCTGTCCCGCCGAGGGTGCTGCACCATGACCTCGGTTAGAATGATAATATTATTATTAATAATAATAATACTAATACTAATAATAATGATAATAATTAGAAGAAAAAAAGAAGGCATGGCGTGAACCACAACTTGCGGAGGTCTGCGCAGAATTATTGGACCAGAGCTGGATACCCCCTCCCTGGCGCACGGAGCGCCACTGGCGGCGCCGGAGGCCACGGCGATGATGACGACGGCGATGACGCGGCCTAGCCAGAGTGAAAGAGTTGCGGGCCAAGCAAGAGTTGCAGAGTTGCGGAGTCATAGCGGACCTGGATCTCCAAAAAAAGGCCCCATCGGGTTATGTGCAATCGGAGAAAGGGGGAGCTGCGTACATGGGAGGAGGAGGAGGAGGCAAGAGATGCTGAAAAGATGACCTCTGCATGGCCGCGTCTACCTCCCACTCCGCAAACGACATCTGCAGCAGGATGCCGCGCATGCCCAGCGGCTCGCCTAGGGACTCAGGGGTGCAGTCCCAGCAGAGCTCGCAGCGGCCGCAGACCTCGAGGAGAGGCGAGTGGCGCCGCGTCCAGCTATACGCCGTCCCCTGCCAGGGCCATCCCTGACCTCCTCGCGTAGTGAATAAAGAACACGACGGGTGGTCAGAGGTTTTCACCTGTTCCTGCAAGTTTTCCAGCTCCTGCGCCTCGCCGAAAGTGCTCCAGGGCTGCCTGGTTCGTCCCGAGCGGCCGCCGGAGATGCGAGGTATGACCCGACAGCCAGACCTCTTCGCGCTGCAAACAAACATCGCGACGGAATTCGGTTTGTCATTTTCGGCCTCTGGGGGCCCTGGCCAAGCCCCGGTCGGGTATACGCAAGAGTGACCCTGGGTAAGAGTGACCTTTGGTGCGCGGCATTCGGGGGGCGCGGGGGAGCCAAACCCAAGCGCGGAGGCCGCTGATATCGCGTCGCGCTCTGCGATCGGGAGGCCCCCTATGGGCGCGCACCAGAGGTCACTCCGGCGAAGGGTCACTCTTGCGTGTAGTCGACCCTGGGACCGTCACGTGACAGCCCGGGACCGGGCCTCACCCATGGCAGAAGGTCCAAAAACTTCCGGGGGCCTACGCTGTGATCGAAATCGCGGCGTGGGAGGTGTAGGGCATTTTGCCGAAGGGGGAGGGAAACAGCACAGCCTCCGCTTCCCCGAGGAACGCCAAACGAGGAACGAGGAACCTCTTGTGGCCCCTGCCGAGGCGTGCCACGTAAAAGGGTTCCCCCGCCTGGCGTCCCGAAATCCGAAGCCGCTCGGGCCCTCAGCGCTTCGGCTGTAGGGGTGGTGGTGAGCGGATCCAGCAAGGGGGGAGGGGGGGGGGGCGGGGCAAGGATGCGCAGGCAGGGAGGAGGGAGGAGCAGGAACGGCAGCAAGCCCAGGAGTCTGAGTCATCAGCTGATGATGATGCGATGGGATAAGGAGCAAAGGAAAATGATGAGGAGGCTGAGGAGGATGATGATGATGAGGAGGAGGAAGGAAGAGGAGGAAACAGAGTAGGAGGAGGAGAAGGTAAAGGAGAAGGAGGAGGAGGAAAAAAAAGAGGAGGAGGAGGAGGAAAAGGAAGAGGAGGAGGAGGATTGTATCCTAGTCTTCACCATTGCGTCCCCTGCGTGCCGAATCGTGAACCGAGCTCAGTAAGGCTTGACCTGGGTGGGCCCCATGGTCGCGGGATCCTCACGGCCTCATAAGTCTTACCTTCTGACATCCGCTGGCTCCCAGCGTGCAAACCTATTTGTCATGACGTCAAGAGAGCACGGCGGAACGCTGGCATCCAATGCTGTCGCTGGATGGCCACGGGGCGCGCAGCCCCGCCACCTCTTGACAACGCGGCGCTCTCATTTTAATCGGAATCGTGCTCGACCCCGTATTCCAGCCAACGTTTTGAACCGAACCCGTAGAGCTCTCCAGACAATCAAACACCTCGGGCCCATCATCTATCTCATTCTGAGTGCTCGAGGAGGAGGAGGAGAAACAGGGGGGAGAGGAAGAAGACGAACACAAACAGACAGCGGCAGCAAACGGCGCAGGCGACCTCAAGACTCCTGGTCTGGCGCCGCTCTCATATTTTCTCGAGCGTGCTCTCCACGGACCGCGCGTTCGGATTCCTGTACGGGGCACCCGATTATACTTCCACGTTCGGCTTGATCGTAATAGCTGCCAGAACCTCCAGTTGAATCATCCTCAACTCTGGCACCACCACCAGTTTGATACGCCAACGGTCCTCTGCCCATTGCTTCTGACGATGACACTTCTCCTGCATGCACGTGAGTACTTGGCCCGAGACTGAAAAGCAGTACGCACTGTAGGCCAACAGATTCGGCTTCTTCTCCTTCGGCACACTCTGGTCCTTCGCAGTCTGCGCAGTAAAAGATATTCAGTAACGTTCATGTGATGGCGTCATCGCGCTCATCGTTTCGTAGTCATTATTATCCTTGCGGTGCTTGCGTTGGGCATCGTACCCCTTGCCCGTGTCCTGGGGGCCGTTCAAGTAGGGTAATATTATTTCGCCAGCGCTGTCGTCTCCAAGCACCCCTGAAGCCTGCGCGTGTTCACATCTAGGCCGACTACCGTTTTGGTCGTCGCCACTGCAAATTCCCTGCCCTGTTCGTCTCCTCCCGCCTCGCCGCCTGCTCGACACTTGTTCGCCGTGTTCGCCTCGATCTTCATCGCTGCCTGCAGTGCCTCCATCTCCCTGTCCAAGAAAGTGAATGCAGATCTCAAAGTGTGCGTGCGCGAGTGTCATGAAACCGGCATCGCAAAAAGGGCGCGCGAGTTCTGCGGGTGACGTCAGAGCCGAAAGATGTCCGGGCGGAGGGCCCGGACGGTTAGCGCCTGCGAGTGGGTTCTTCATTCCCATAGCCACGCAATGTAACCGAGTATTCGCGGCGTTGGCGAAGATCCAGGAACGCCGAGGGCATTGATTAGTGATTGGGGCACGTCGATCACCATTACACATACCATGGGCGCGAGATTCATGGACTCGTAGCTGTTTCGCAATATCATGCGACTGGGCACATCAAGCGGCGCTCTCGAATTAGCGATAGCGGGCATGGAGCTCTCAGGGGGATCTCCGCTATTCCCGATGGCATGCGGGGGGCCACGCTTCTCGGGCTCCTCACAAATGCGGCAAAGGCGCCCTGTGCTGGTCGATGGTGACGACCAGGCTCATTAAAATCAACTCCGAACTGTCGAGGCAAGGGAATTCGTCTATGTCAAGGTTTGCCTCGGCGAATTAGTTGGCCCTTCCCAGACGCCTCGCCCGTCGCAGCTCCCGACGGAACAGTGCGATCCCGAAGTAATCGAAACATGTGACGTAACCAACGAAGCCTCCGATCTCAAGATGCCGTTGGCGGTGTTCATCCGTGGCCGGCGTCGAACTTCGAAATTGGATAAGGTACGGCAGTAGGTTGCATTCGCTCGCTCGTCATTCTGTTTGGTAGCCCCTTTTTCCCCGCAAGTAGTGATCTAGTTTTTTTTGCGCGATACATCAGTTTTTTTGTTGATTCTCTCTCTCTCTCTCTCTCTCTCTCTCTCTCTCTCTCTCTCTCTCTCTCTCTCTCTCTCTTTTTTTTTCCGCGGCGCGATCCGATGGGGCCCCAGCTCCCCCCCCCCCCCCGATAGATGCGCATTGGCAACCACCCTCTGGAACGCTGTCTTCTTGACTATTCTGGGGGCGCGGCTAGTCCAGAACTTGCCCATGGCGTTCCACCCCAGACATGCCGCGCCCTGTCGTTTTGTGAAACCCCAGGCAGCGCGTCCGTCGAAGTGGTGCCCAGCCCCAAGATGCTTCAGACAGATGCTGGGCCCCCCCTTCGAAGGTGAGGTCCGCCCGTCTGTAGAACTGCCGCATTTTCTGATGGGGCCCCCGACCGCATGCCCGGAGGAGGACTCTTTTTGGCCAATGGTTTGCTTGGGCCCTGTCGGCTCGCTGACATGCGCAGCGAGTGCTTAATCCTACTCTTCTATGCGGGAGCTCGCAATCTTCGCGTCCTCGCTCAGACCTATGCGAAACATATTATCTGCGTGCGCACCGTGGCCGAAATTGACCATCGTCTGGGTGATCGGTTCCAGCGCGTGAAAACAATTACGGCCCCCCCCCGTCTCCGTCGCGGCCATCCATCTGCGCGCACGCGGGTCCAGCGCGTTAGCGAACTTGTCGGAAGTAGCAACGTCACCACGCATGTCTCCGCAGCCACGAAACATCAGTGCCCAGTCGCCCAAGTCCGTCCGGAGGAAGCGACATGCACGCGTGCGCCTCTGCAGTAGTCGCTCCGCGCCACCTCGTGGTAGTGCAGCGCGTGCTACGTCGCTTAGTTCTGCATGGCCCACGGAAGCAAAAGCGTTGGCTTGATCGTATAAGGTGGCTGCCCGGGCAAGGTAATGCAGTGCCAGGTGCCACCTGGCGATCTTCGCCCGCAAGATAGCCTGTTCTCGTAGCCGTCGATCTTGACCCATTGGATAGCCTGATCGCGCGCCGTCCGTCGTGCCCAGAGTTGCCCCGCAGACGCCGTGCCAATGGGGTCTGATGAGTGCGCAACTCGTTCTTTGTAAGACTCCTCGTCGTTACCTTTCTGCACTCGACGTCGTGAGCTGACTGCCCAGATCTGTGGCACGTGGTCGGCCGATCGAAAAAGGTAGAGAAGCGGTTGAACACTCCGTTGCAAAAAAAAGGTCCTCGCTGCCCACGGTGCCTCGTTTTCGCTTTTGATAGCAACCCGGCTTAGCAACAAACTCGCAAAGGCGGAACTGCTCGTCGTGCTCTGGCATTGCGGAACCTACGAAGTACACCGCGATGATCTTCCTGCGCCCGAACATACTTGTGCCGCTCGTCCTCGGTAGGTGGGTCGCCGTGACTGTGTGGGCGAGTGGCCGCCGCCAGTTGAAACTGCATCTTCTTCTGTCCAAGTTTCGCGGCAGCTATCAGTCTCAAGAGAGCCCATACTTGGTTCCAGTCATTATTGCCCAGCGCCTGTTCCAATTCAAGAGACCATGTGTCGCGCGCGCGTCGGGAATCTCGCCGTCGAAATCGCCCGGTACACTTCTGCAACAACGCGCGCTTATCCGTCAGGTCCTGGGTCGCGTGATCAGCACCTTGAAGACGTGCTCGTACTTCTTTGCGCTTCTCTCTCACTCTTGTAGTGCTGGAGTCTCCCCCTCTCCGAGTCTGCCCGGGACGCTTTTGAACATGTTGCTCTGCCTGCTCAAGAATAACATTGTGTAGAACATGCCAGAAACCATCCACCCCACCTGTCCGTTGGAGTTCTCGAAGTGGAGTAGTGTTATCTGGATGAACCACCCAAGCGTCGAAATCGGTAGCCAAACCATCGTGCAAGGAGCCTCCTTTTATCCATGTTTGCAAATACTCGTCGCAGTTCCAGGCTCGGTTCACTTCGGCCTGTGGTTCATGCCACAACCGTGAAACGAAATCCATAACGAAGGGAGCGTGATCTGCATTGCCTCTAATATTCGAAGGCTGAAGGCGCCGTCCAGTACGTGGCCACACACGCAGCGCCAAAACTTGGGCCAACATTGCTTTCGACACTGCGACGTGATCGATACGGGACGTCATCGATCCTCAAGAACATGTGGCATAATATCCTTCTCGGTAATACGTTTTAGCCAGACACATATGGTGAATGCTCAGCATCATGCACCAGTGATGTGTGCGGGGGTCCTCCTTGGGGGCTGGTAGCGTCATTCAAGCTGGTGGTGTGCATGTGCACCCATTGCCCCGCCCCCCTGCGCTGCCAAACCCACAATGGCAGTTCCCGCCCATCGAAAGAACCGGAGTGCACCGTGCAGGGAGCTGCGTGCAGTAACCTTGCCCATACAATCGACGAGAGCCGGACAGCGTTTTTAATTTGTGTCCGATTTCGGCACCAACAACCCGTAAGCGGTGGTAAGAGCTAACAATAGTGGCCGCGGCCATGCCAACGATACCGGGCTGTTCCACCACGGCCCTGGAGATTGTCAGGTGGACACCATGCTTGGATAGAACGCTGTTTTCTGAACATGTTCGGTATCGACTGCCGGTATTCACCCTGTGGTCGTGTTGGTGCCGTCTGTGTTCTTGCTCCTGTCCTGCTTCCGAATCTTTCTGGTGGCCGACGCGGGCCACTGCCGTGCTACATGTTTGCCCACCCTCGAAAAATACGAAGATCCATCAAAAAGCCCCTTTCATTGCCTGCCCAGTCCCCGTGAGGCTTATGTCATGGCAAAACCTCCCGAAGCCCACGATGCAGAGGTAGCGCTTGGGGATTGTATTGGGCGACGCGTAGACGAATGGCCTGGGGCGGGATCGAGGGCTGCGCGGAGGTCGTCATCGGAGTCGGTCCCGGGGAGATGACAGCAAGAAAGGCAACCGTCCACATCCGCAACCGCGCTCCCCGTGTAATGGCCCACGCACCAGTAAGGCATCCAGGAAGAGGAGAAGAATGAGGAGGAGGAGGTGGTGGAGGAAGAGGTCGATAACGAGGGCGGAGACAAGAAGGAGGAGGAGGAGGAGGGAGGGCAAACCATTTTTTCAAAGCGGGGCTATCGCGGGACACATCCTTGAACTTCATCGCCTTGCTTCTTTGGTTTCTTCTGGCTATGGAGGGTGGGTGCTTTACAAAAAGGGTTGTAGCCTCAGTGGCAGGCCCATCGAAGGCTCGCCGCTCATGGGGAGCACCCCGCAGTGGACAGGAAAACCAGTCGGGAATTATGAGGAGGGCCCGAGGGACTTAACTATATATTGTACCATCGATGACGCATCCTGGGTTTATTCTGGTCCTCCACGTCCTCCCCTCCTCATCCTCCCCCCTCTCTGATCCTCCTCCTCCTGCCCCTCCTATCCTCCTCCTCCTCCTCCTCCTCCTCCCTCCTGTCCTCCTCCTCCTCCTCTCTCCTCCTCCTCCTCCTCCCCTCCTCCTCCTCCTCCTCCTCCTCCTCCGCCTCTCCTCCTCCTCCTCCTCCTCCTCCTCCTTCTCCTCCTCCTTCCTCCTCCTTCTCCCTCCTCCTCCTCCTCCTCCTCCTCCTCCTCCGTGCTCCTCTGCCTCCCTCCCCCTCCCTCACCTCCACCGCCTCTCGGTCCTGCTCCCGTTCCCCTCTTCCCTCAACCCTTCCGCTCCTCTTCTCCCCCACTCTGCCCCGCCCCCCACCCCCCTGACCTGCTTGGGGCAGCCCGCGCAGCTCTTCAGGGCGCTGGCCGGGCACTGGCCGTCGCACCCCGCGCACCTCGCCTCGGGCTCCCGCGGTACCTCGAGGAGCCGGGGCCCTGAGCGACACCGTGGTGTCGGGGGGGGGGGGGCATTCGGCGAATTCGGGTGCTGCCAGACGTGCCCCCTGGCCCAAGGTGCCCCCGGGATCTCGCCCAAGGAGGTCCCCGCGGCCTGCCGAGCACCCCCCCACGAGGCCCAGAAGGCCCCCAGGGGCTCCAGAAGTGCGCGAAGAAGCAGGGGGCACCTTTTGGGAGCGGCCAAGAGGGGGGTGTCCAAGAGGGGGGGGGCAAATCATGACCGGCGGCACGTGCGCGGCCCAGCGGGGGGGCCAGGGACGTAAAGAAATAAGAGAAGAGGCGCCATGACATCTGGGGAACCATCGTGGCCCCCGCCATGATATCCTCCCCCCCCTGGGCACCACCCCCCTCTTCTCCGCCCCCGAACCTTGGGCCATGGGGGCACCTCCAGCAGCACCCGGTGGCCGGCGGCTCGCCGGCGGCGCGTCGGCGACCCTCGGGCGGGTGGGCCTCTCGGCCTGGCCCCTCGGCGGCCTGGGCCGCGGCGTGGAGGGCGGAGGGCCTCCCCGGCGCCGTGCTCGCTGCCCCATAGCGCGGACCCCCAGGGGGTCTGGGGAAGCCCATCCCCGGGAGCGGAGCTTCATCCCGAGCGGGCTCCCACGGTGCCTCGAGGGTGGATCTCGAGGGCCGGAGTTTTTCCTGTCTCTGTTAGTTGTGCTTTTGTTTTTTTCCTCCCCCCAGAATGACACCAACTTGGTTCCCCCCCCACAGAATGACACCAACTTTGTTCCCCTGCTCGGAGGGTCCGCGCAGGTGTCTTAGATCGGCGCTGGGCCTCCCTCGACGCCGCCCCGGGCGCGCTCCGCGCGCCAGGGAGAGGGATCAGCGCCGATCCAGGGAATCTGACGTCGTGTGTTTTTTTGTCGGCAGCGCGGAACCCCAGGGGCCTGAACTCTGTCCCCGGGAGCGGATTTTCATTCCGAGTAGATTCTTTTACGACAAGTCCCAAGGCCTGGTGAGGGCTCTCGGACACCGAAAACTGCTGCTAACCTGTCGTAGAGAAGAGGTGGAAGAGGATCGAGGGTCGGGGATAATAGACATTCCGCATTTCTAGAAGCCACTTCCCTGGGAACGTACAAGATCGATCCAGGTGAAAGGCTACCCAAAACGGACCCCCAGAGGTGTTTGGGGACCAATTTTGAACGGACTTTGGATGTCGTCGTCGTCGTCTTCGTCGTCGTCGTCGTCTTCGTCGTCGTCAGCGTCGTCGTCGTCGTCGTCGTCGTGGTCGTCATGGTCGACGTTTTGGTCGTGGTGGTGGTGGTGGTGGTGGTGGTGGTGATCGTCGTCGTCGTCGTCGTCGTCGTCGTTGTCGTGGTCGTGGTGGCCGTCGTCATCGTCTTGGTAGTCGTCGTCGTCGTCGTCGTCTTGATCGTCTACGTCTGGGTCGTCGTCTTTGCCTCCTTATTGGGCCCTCAGAAGCCCTAAAGGGCTCCAACAAGAGAGGAGGGATACGAAGAGAGAGGTGGATTGAGTCTCACATCGCTCGGGTCCAAATGGAAGCCGCTGAGGCAGGCAGAAATCCCAATATCCTGGATTCTCTCCAACACGGCACCCACAAATAATCACGGCCTGCGAGCATCACAGACCGGAGGTTCTCATACTATTCGTCATTGAAACATCGGCTGAGCATGAGTTTGAAAACACTCCACGACGAGTTACCCTCCCTCCTCCCTCTCTGCATCCTTATGATCGTCCTCCTCCTTGATATTACGTATGCTTGTCCTTTTTACCCTTCCTTCTTCTTCCCATCCCCGTTTTCTCACCCTCCCTTGTCCTCCTCTCCTACGTTTCGTAACTCATCGTCGCCCCTCCTTCTCCTTCTCCTCCCCCCCGTCCCCCCTCCTCCCAGAGCCCCACCACCCTTCTCCCTGCGCTCCTCCAGAACTCCTCGCTGCCCGTCCTCGGTATCATCATCCGTTCGCCTCCCTCTTCGCATGCTCCTCCGCCTCCTCCTCTTCCTCCTCCTCCTCCTCCTCCTCCTCCTCCTCCTCCTCCTCCTCCATCTCCCCCCCCTCCTGCCCTCCTCCCCCTCATCTTTCCCCCTCCTCCTCCTCCTCCTCCTCTTCTTCTTCTTCTTCTTCTTATTATTCTTCTTATTATTCTTAGTATTATTATTATTATTATTATTAGTATTATTATTATTATTATTATTATTATTGTTATTCCTCCTTCCTCCTCCTCCTCCTCCTCCTCCTCCTCCTCCTCCTCCTCCTCCCCCTTCCTCTCCCTCATCCTTCCCCCTCCTCCTCCTCCTCCTCCTCCTCCTTCTCCTCCTCCTCCTCCTCCTCCTCCTCCTCCTCCTCCTCCTCCATCCCCCTCTCAGCCCGCCACCGTGAGCCCAGGCACGCTGAGGCATGGTAGACTGCAACGTGCTGCCTGTCCGCGGTTCTGTAAGCCTTCCCGGGGCGGGGGCCTCGCCGAGTACCGCGCTCCCTCGCGTGCCTCTCCGCCCCTCGCCCCCCTGAGGCTCCCTGGGCGGCCCCACGCCTCCCCGAGACTCTCCGAAGCCCCCCGAAGGCTTCCAGGACGTCCGCCAAGATGGCCCAGCATGGCCTCGAGGCACGCCCCTAAAGCAGCTGAGAAGCGCCCATATCGGTCCCAAAAAGGCCTCCGTCATGCCCAAGACCTTCGGGCACCCTCGAGAGGTCAAAAGCACTGTTCCATGAGGTGTTTCAATGTCGTTCGCTTCCCACGCTCGTCGGTCGAAGATCGGTCCGCTTGCGGTCTTCGAGGGCCCTGAGGCACCCACAGAGAACCCCAGCATAAGCAGGTCCCTGGTCCAACCAGGCCCTGGAGGGATCCAAGACGGTCTCACAAGCCCGCCCCCCCCCCACCACCCAGACGGCCCTATTGAGCCGCTAGACGGCTCATTAGGGCCCCAAGATGGCCTGCCTAATTGGAGCCCGAGGCATCCCCTGAGACGGCTCAGATGGTTCCCTATGAGAGCTCCTCAAGAAGTGGAGACGGAGGTGCCACACGTGACGGCCTTCAGGGCGGTGCTCCAAGGGTCGCCAGGTTGGAGTGCTTCGCTGGCCCTGTGGTGGATTTGCCACGGCTGCCTGAGCATCTTAGACCAGGCAGAGCGGAGCCTGCGGCAGCATTATAAATGTACGGAGTTTTGGCCATACGTCCTCACGATCAGAACAGGTGGCGGCGACACGACGTCGGCTCGGCGCTCACCCTCGGTTATACAGCGGAGGCCAGTCCACGAGAAAACCTCCACAAGAAGCCCAACCCTGAAACCCCAGGGCGTCCATGGATTTTTGGTGTGGGAGTGTCACGCTTTCCATAGCAACGCCATCGACACCCAAGAAACCCAGGGCACCCTGGAGGCAAGCAGGGTGTGCCTTGGCATGGGCCTGCAGTGTCTGGAACCCCATCGGCGTTGACACCAACGGGCACGAGAGCGGCACGATGGGGGGGGCGGCAGCACGGCCAGTCCTCCGCTGCTCCTCCTCCTCCTCCTCATCCTTCCCCCTCCTCCTCCTCCTCCTCCTCCTCCTCCTCCTCCTCCTCCTCCTCCTCCTCCTTCCTGACGGCGCGTCGCGGCGGCGGATCCAGCGGCACGCCGCGCCCCACGAGCGGATCGCGTGCCGCTCCGCTCCGCGTGGCGGGGGGCCTGGAAGCGCTCGGGAGGTGGACGCCCGGGGGCTGGGACGCTGTTGGAATGTGTCGCGCCGAGGAGTGGCGGGCCAGAGCCGGCGGCGCAGCCCGCCAAGCCCAACGTTCCTGACCGTACCCCCGTCCTCGATCCTCGTCGCCCCCCTCATCTGTCCTCCTCCTCATCCTCCCTCTTCTGGTCCTGCTGCTGCTGCTGCTCCAGCTCCTCCTACTCCTTCTCGCACTCGACGTGCTTCTCCTTGTCCGCCCTCTTCGGCCCCTCTCCTCCTTCACCCATTCCCATGCTGCTCCTCCTCCTCCTCCTCCTCCTCCTCCTCCTCATCCTCCTCCTCCTCCTCCTCCTCCTCCTCCTCCTCTTCCTCCTCGTCTCCCCCTCCTCCTCGTTCTCCTGCTCCCCCCTCTTTCACACACCCTTCCTCCTCCTCCTCTTTCATTCTCCCTCACCTCATCCACCCTTCCCCACCACCTCCTCCTCCTCCTCCTCCTCCTACTCCTCATCTTCCTCCTCCTCCTTCTCCTCCTCCCTGACCCCGTTCCGCTTCCCATCCTCCAATGCAGACGAAGGCAGGACAGTGACTCGAGACAAAATCGGACCAGCTGAGATCTATTGAAGCTGGAGGATGTATCGGTAGCCGCGGCCACTCCAGAGCGCTCGAGAACGCTCTGAAAGCGTTCCGCAACGCTCTGGAGCGATTATCCCCGTCCCAGCCCCGCCGGGCCCATACCCTCACACTCCTCTTCCACCTCCTTGTCCTCCTCGTCCTCCTCGTACTCCGCGTCGTCCTCCTCCTCCTCCTCCTCCTCCTGCTCCCCATTACCCTCCCTGTCCCCCTCATCCTTCTCATGCTGCTCCGCTGCTTCCTCCTCCTCCTCCTCCTCCTCCTCCTCCTCCTCTCCTCTCCCTCCTCATCCTCCTCATCCTCCTCCTCTTCCTCCTCCTCCTCCTCCTCCTCCTCCTCCTCCACCTCCTCTCCCTCCTCCTCTCCCTACTCCCCCTCCGACGCCGACGACGAAGTCCACGACGAGAATGGCCACGGTGACGACGACGACAGCCACGCCGACGCCGACGCCGACGAGACCGACGCCGACGGCGGCGGCGACGACGCCGCGGCACAGGTGCCGCCGCAGGCGCTGGTGCGGCTGGCGGGGGCCCCGCCCGGCCGCCCGGCGGGGGCCCCGCGGTGCGCGCGGGCGGCGCGCACTCGACGCAGAGGCAGCAGCTGGGGCAGATGACGTTGGTGCAGAACGCGGGGCCTCGGCCCCACCCCTCTCCTGCTCATCGTCGTCGTCCTCCTCCTGCTCCTGCTCGTCGTCGTCGTCCTCCTCCTCCTCCTCCTCCTCCTTCTCCTCCGGCTCCTCCTGCTCCTCCTCCTCCTCCTGGCGACCACGGGCCCCGGCGTCTGAAAGGCGGCCGCGCGGCCCTGCGGCCATCGGCCCGAATAGAGGAGAGAGAAAGCTCTGCGCACACGCCGATCCTAGCCGGGCCCTTCCTGAGCCCAAGATCGGTGCCTACGCCCTCGTGGCTTGGCCATGTTCCTTCCGGGAGGGGCCCGGCCAGGATCGGTGCATGTGCAGAGGTCTGCTCGCCCCACGAGGGGACGGAAGCCACACGGGGAAGGAGGAGGCCGAGGAGGGAGGGAGGGCGCGCGCAGGTGGGGGCGCGGCGCGCGGCTCGACGGGGGGGGGGGGCGGAGCCCCCCCCCCTGGCGGCAGCAGAGGAGGCGGGCGGCGCGCACTGGAGGGAGGAGGCTGCCTCTCAGAAAGCGCGGGGCCCTGCATCTGCAGACAAGGCCCGCGCCCTTCTGAGAAGCAGGAGTGCTTCTTCGGAAGCCTGCCCCCCTCCCCCATAAGGTTACCCCCCCTCCGAGCGTGGCCGTTTCTTCAGGATGGGAGTGATCTCGTGATCATATTTGCTCAGGATATCCCGGATTCCACTATACAGTGGGGGGGGTCACATTTTGGGGGCTCCGATTTGAGCTGTCTTGGAGGGATCGGGGGGGTCTGGGCAAAAGGCCGCCGTTTCATGGCTGGTTTGGGGGGGATCTGAAAGGGCCCATCTGGCGGGTACCACCCCCTCCCCCGCTTCCACGATTTCCAGAACATCTGGCGGCTCTCCTTTAGCAAGGGATCGGGGAAGTGCTGGAAATCCTGGAACGCATCATGGAATGGAATGGATGGAATGGCTAGACTCCGCGACGGCGCGACGGCGTCATCGACGTCCACGCCGCGATGTGGGGTAAAGTCCTTCCAGCTCAAGTACCCACGTGAAGAGTTCGTAGGCTGCGAGCTCTGGATCAACACCCGAGGTACGACTTTGTCCAGGCCGTCTTCCCGAATTGGCCCCCAAAGGACTAGTCAGAGCGGCGTCCCCAAATCTCCGACGTCGTGATTTACTTCACATCGTTGACCCTCAGAGGTCTGGACCCCTCTGGGGACCGGCTTCCACCCCGATTTATGTGTTTGGAAGCCCTGGGTCCCGGTGAGGGCCCCAGGGAGCCTAAAATTGCAAAAACCTCTCGTCGTGAGCTTCGTCACAAGAGGTGATGGGACACACAAAGACAAAATTATATATTCTCCTTGGAGGCGCGCTTTCGACCCGAACACATAGTGTAGCAATATGGTAGTGCATCGTTTCCCGAGCGTTGTGGCCAGAAAGCGCCCGCCACGACGCATATACTGACATATCTCTCGGTGCGCGCGTCGCCCCTGGGGGGGCGACGCACAGATAGTAGTAGCATGTTAGGGTGACGCCGAGGTGAGGGTTTTTGCAGGTCGTCCTTCGTCTGCACGCCAAGAGCAGCCCTGGACTCTGCCAGGCCTGGCGGCACGCACAAGGGGGCAGGGGGAGGAGGAAGGTTTCTTGGAAGGAGGCTGCTTCTTAGAAGGCGCCGACCTTACATCTACAGACAAGGGCCGCGCCTTCTAGAAGCAAGGGCGCTTCTGAGAAGACTCCCCCCCTCCCCCGCCCCCCTGTGCGCGTGGCCGACAGGCGCTCGGCACCGGCGGGCGCGCAGGCCGGGCGAGGCGCTCCGCGCTGGGCGCGATCGGGCGCGATCGGGGGCGATCGGGGGCGCCCCTCCTGCTCGTCGTCGTCGTCGTCGTCGTCGTCGTCGTCGTCGTCGTCGTCGTCGTCGTCGTCGTCGTCGTCGTCGTCGTCGTCGTCGTCGTCATCGTCATCGTCGTCGTCGTCGTCGGCGGCGTCCTCCTCCTCCTCCGCGTCCCCCTCCTGGCCACCACGGGGCATAGCGGTCCTCACTCTACGGGGGCCTCCTGCTGGGCCCTAGGCCCCCCTGCAGCCTCCCCTCTTCCGCTCTCCTCCTCCGCCTCAACATGTTGCTGCTGCTCCTCCTCCTCCTCCTCCTCCTCCTCCGCGTCCCCCTCCGCCGTCTTACCCCGCCCCCTCGGCCCCCCGTCCTCCTCCTCCGCCTCCTCCTCCTCCGCCTCCCTTGCGCCCTCCCAGGCGGCCGCGAAGGTGAGGCGGAGGCGACGCCGACGGCGGCGCCGACGACGCCAGCGCCGGCGCCGGCGGCGACGCCGGCGACGACGCCGACGGCGGCGGCGGCTGCGGGCCGCTGGGCCGCGCGGCACTTGCGCAGCTCGGCCACGGCGTGCGTGCGGCCGCAGCCGTTGCAGGGCTGCCGCGCGGCCGGCCCGGCCGGCCTCCGGGGCCCGCCCTGGCCGCGGGGGGCGCCAGCCTCGGCTCGCGCCTGGGCGCGAGGCCGTCGGCCGCGGTCGCCGCCGCCGCCGCCGTGGCCGTGGCCGTGGCCGCCGTCGCAGACCTCGTCGTCACCATCGCCGTGGACGTCCCCAGGGCTCCGATCGGCGAGGACTTTTTCACTCGGGACGTTCGTCTATGGTTGCGGCCTCCAGGGCCCGCTCTCGGGCCTCAGAAACGGATCCGGGACGCAAAACCGCAGAACTATATTTGGGGAAGTGGTCAGGAGCCTGTGGCCGCGGATGTCTGGGTCGCAGTCGCCGCCGTGGTCGTGGTCGTGGTCGTCGTCGTGGTGTTGGTAGTCGTCGTCGTTGCCGTGGTCGGTCGTGGTCGCCGTGGTCGGCGTGGCGGTCGTCGCCGACCTTCAAGATCGCCCCAGGTGAACCCCAATGTGGCCGAAGTAAGCTTCCAAGAGGCTCCCATATCGGAAGATCCGCGAGAGCATCAACTGATGGGCTGACTCCTGGGTCTGCTCACGCTGATGCCGACCTTCGGTGTGACGGTTGCTCCCTCCTTGTTCTTACACTGCAGGCGTCCACACCTCCTCGATCAATACAACTCGCCTGGACATTGTTTCTGGATGGGCTGGTGGGGATACTTTTTGATCGCGACCGCAGGCGGGCACCCGCGAGGCGTCAGAAGTGTCGAACAGCAAGCAAGAACGGCTGGTGGGGATACGCGACGTGTTAAGAAGTGCAAGTGCACCGACGGCCTCGCATCTCATGCCATGACAGATGCAACAACTGCGGATGATATGAAAACGATGATATACGCAAGCCGCTAACATAACCACCACTGGAATAGCATTTGCACGTCGTGCAGACTGCAACGAATGAACTATCGGTGCAACCAGCAGCGGCGACCGTGTGCCCAAACTCCTTGTGAAACTAAGCAGTGATGCCTCGGAGCCCATCTGGGTCCGCACATGTTCCTGCAGGAGGCTGGGGCGCAGACCTGGACCCTGGAAGACAAACCAAAACACTGTCACGCCCTGCCTGCTCTACGCCACTTGTGGTCTCGCCCAAACTGGGCTAGACCCCCGTCGCTGCGGGAGCACCTTGGCAGCTAGCCTCGCAACCACGAGCGCATGGCTGTCTTTCTGGGAAACCGCACCGCCCTCGACCCTAGGTGGGCTGACCGGTCGGCGCGTCAGTTACCGAGCCTGGAGCATACTCGCACTGCGGGAGGCGTTCGTCCAGCTCCCGCCGCGCACGCACCTTTGCGGCATCTTCTGCGGATTCCGTTTCGCCCATCCTGGCCCGCAGCATACAGCCCGCGCGAGCTACTGTGGAAAGGGGCAGTCCACTTCGCGAGACCCCAGTGCGAGACTGCCTGCTGACAGCCAGAGTAGATCGCAGTGGGGCCTCCTGGCATGCACAGCACCGCAACAAAACAAGAACGCAGTATTCGCCTCCCTTGGGCGGCCAGGACAAGGGCAGGAGAGCCGAGAATCGAATCGATAAATCATCGGCGATCGAAATGAATCGGATCGGCGGAAATTAGCTGCCGAATGGGGAAAAGTCGGATCGGCAGAAGTCGGCAGGCCAGTATGCCTCCAATAAGAAATCGGAACCCACATCGGAATCCCAAGTCGAATCGAATCGGACTCAGAAGCGATCGAAATCGAATCGAATCGAATCGGAGGAATCGAAACAAGCCCTGCAAGGGGGGCCCGAGGCATATGAACCGAGCCATGACCACATCACTCGGGGTCCAACACAGCAACCTCGCTGCCAGCCCTGGAACGCTCCCTGAACAGGCTGTCGCATACAGGACCCGCCAGTAAACAGATGCAAGAAAGATGCGAAGCGGTCTTCCAAAACAGGGCATCTTAGACCCCAAGAGAATTGCAAAATATCGCTATTCCACCGTAGGCCAGTGGACGCGGAAGATTATTCATTGGGCACCGAGTGGAGAGATGGCAGGGGGGGGAGGGGGACGATGATGCTGATGAGAATGAGGATGATGATGAGGATGATGATGGTCATGATGATGATGATGATGATGATGATGATGATGATGATGATGATGATGATGATGATGATGATGATCATGATGATCATGATGATTATGATGCTGATGATGCTGATGATGAGAGAGAGGCAGATGGAGGAGGACGCGGTGGACGAGGAGACGGAGGAGGAGAGGACGAGAAGGCCAAGACTGATCATGATGCTGCTGCTGATGATGATACATATGCTGATGCTGATGCTGACGATACTGCTGTTGATCATGATACTGATGATGATGCTGATTATGCTTATGATGATGCTGATGATGCCGATGGTGATGATACTGATGATGATGATGATGACGATGACGATGATGCTGCTGATGATGTTGATGAGCCTGATGATGGTGATGATGATGTTGATGTTGATGTTGATGATGATGATGATGATGATGATGATGATGATGATGATGATGATGATGATGATGATGAGCAGGAGGATGAGGAGGAGGAGGAGGAGGAGGCGGAGGAGGGGGAGGCGGAGGATGAACAGACCGACGAGATGGAGCAGGAGGGACGCTAATGAGGCACACAGCGAGGATGACGACGACGACGAAGCGCAGGAGGAGTGCCTGCCCTGCGCCCGAAGGCCGAGCCGCGTCGTACTGCCTCCGCAGCGCGTCGTCGGAGAGCACCTCGTACGCCTCGGCGATCAGCTGGAAGCGCCTGGTGGCTCTGGCCCGCTCCGCCTCGGGCACCTCGCCGTGTCTTGCGAATGTTTTTTGCGACGTTTTGACATGTGTGTGTGTGTGTGTGTGTGTTGCCCGCCGCCCCCCCCCCCACCCACAGCGAGGACGAGGAGGCGGAAGAAGAAGAGGAGAAGCAGCGTCAGTACGACTACCGTGCCAGTACCAACGGTTCAACAGGAGGAGGAGGAAGAGGAGGAGGAGGAGGAGGAGGAGGAGGAGGAGGAGGAGGAGGAGGATGGAGACCAGTGTAAACCCAAGACGCATCAACGATATTGCAATCAACCTTCCCTACAAATTCCCTTGTCATAGGCCCCTACAAATGTTCATTTCATTGAGGACGTGCCATGCGGGAAGGCAACCGTTTGAACAACCGGAACTTTGCCAGAACACCACTCTCGGGACTCCAATGCCGCGAATCGCCGTTACATATGGCCTCCAATATCATCAAGATACCCCAGCATGTCTCAATCTAGCTAGCGGCATGCCTCTACGAGGCCCCAAGATGACCACAAAACGGTTCCAGGTGCTCTCGGAACCCCCCCAGGACCCCTCCAAGAGCCCAAAGACAATTGATGAAGTTTGCCTTCTCGCCGTGTCGCTTCCGATGCGCTATTGAGGTCTCTAGATGGCCCCAAGATGGCTCAATAATGCCCCAAGAGGGGCCCAAGAGGCCCCCAAGACGGCCCCAAGAGCGCCCAATAGCGCCCCAAAGGCGCCCCAATAGGGCTCCAAAGTAGTTTTGAGGGCCCCAGGGAGGGGACCCCCCTCCTTTGATCGATAGCCTCGAATATGGCCCCAAGAGGCGCTCCAAGGCTCCTAAGAGAGAGTGCCCCAAGAGGGCTCCAAGAGGGTCCCAAGAGGCCCCCAAACGGCCCTAAGAGGGCCCAGAGACACCCCAAGACAGCACGAAGATGGTTCCAAGATGCGATGTTGAGGGCTCCTGGGGGGAGGGGGAGGCGACATCGAGAACATCTCCTCATATGATCGATGCTCTCCAACATGTCCCCAAGATGCCCGCAAGGTCCCCTGAGAGGCTCCAAAGAGGGTTCAAGATCCTCCTCGTCCTCGTCCTTCTCCGCGTCCTCCTCATCCTCGTCCTCCTCTTCCCCTCGCCCCCACACAGCACCCAGGGATGGCCCGAAGAGGCCTTCCAAGGCCACCCCCTTCGCTCGCTTTGTTTCCCCAGATGTGCCTCTTCGTCCCTTTTTCATCGGCTCTGAAAGGCAGGGTTTCTGAATGGGCTGGTGGGGATACTTTTGGTACGCGGGCGCGCGAAGCAGGTCGAAAGCCAGGCAAAGCTAGGGCGGGCCGCGCCGAGGCAACAGGGAAACACAGTACGGGGCAAGGCTGGTGGGGATTTTTTTTTTGTTTCGCGGCCCGCAAGGAGAAGTCCAGAGGGCGGTATGACCGAGGCTGGGGCACAGCGACAGATAATTGGCGCGACACCGCGCAGGGTGCACCTGCAGATAAATTGGAAAGAGGCGGCCACTGGTCAACCCGCAGGTTGGGGGCGAACCGAAGCCCTGCCGAAAGCACGCGGACCTAAAAGTCGCTGAGCGTGTGCCAGCAGAAGAGGGCAACCGCGACCGAGCAGGTGGGACCAGGCCGGGCCCGCAGGTGGAGTACCGACCGGCAGCCTGGAAAGGGGGGGAAGCAGGGCGGCGCGGGAAGAGAGAGAGAGAGAGCACAACCTAAGGGGAAGCGTGGCGGATCCACTCACTTGTCACCCGGTGCGTGAGCGTCGCTGGTGGGGATACGCGAAGCATGAAGAATACTACAACTGCTGCAAACTCTTCAGACGAATGTGCGCGGCGCTAAAGTGAGAACCAAAGTTTGCAAAAAGAACCGCCATCCATCCGTGGAGCTCGTGCAAACTTTCAGACGGATGTGCGCGGCACGACCGCGAACATCACATTTTGAAGACGGACCGCCCTTTATCCGTGAAGCTTTTGTAATGGTTTGAAGCGAATGTGCGCGGCGCTGAAGCGAGAACCACATTTTGAAAACGGCACGCCCTGCTTCCGTGAAGCTCTTGCAAAACCTTGACAGGAATGTGCACTGTGCTGAGGCGAGAAATCCACATGTTGAAAACGGCCCGCCCTCCATTCCGAGAAGCTTCTGTGCATTCTACACTTCAAGATCGTAATTGGTGAAGAAATCTCGGGCGAAACTCCCAGCCCCCCCTTCGACTGGCCACAGGGTGCGACAGGGAGGAGTCCTCAATAAGGGAGAGGCATGGGGGAGGAGGAGGAGGAGGATGGATGGATGGTGCTCATGAAGCTCGAGCGCCGCCTCGATGTCGAGGGTGGGGGGGGGAAGATGGGGACGACGACGGGGATGCCCTCACCGTCGCCGCAGCCAGAAACGCCATGGAGTCCTGGTCAGAGCGGGCCCAGGGAAGACTGCTGAGATCCGATCTCGACCCGGACAGTGCCGGGGGGGGGCGGGTCACCACCAAGGGGGTCGCCAAGTCCTCCAGGAAACAAGCGCCCCCGGACCCCCACGCCCCCGCAGGACGTCCACAAGGCTTCCCAAGGACGGCCAAGCCCTCCTCGATCTTTGTTCTGCCTTCACCTCGAGGCTCGATTTCCTGGAGGCGGTGGCGACCCCCCTTTGGCACTGCCCGATCGACAGGGGGTCGGACGTCGCGCAATGGGGGGCGATACATGGGGAGGTGACGAAAGGTGCGCCCTTTGTGCCCTCCAGGGGCCCGAGAGCTCCCTGGGGCCAAAAAGGGGCACGAAAGGTGCTTCTCCCCCCCCCCATGTATGGTCCAGGGCTTGGGCCCCCCCCCCCCGCCAATGCTGATGCCATTGGCCCCCCCGCCCCCCCCCGCGCGATGGTCCCCCCCGCCCCCCCCTGTGGGCGTGGCGTGGTGCTGCGCTGCGGTGCCCCCCCCCCCCCCCCGTGGATGTGGTGCGGTGCTGTGGTGGTTCAGAGGTGGGCGTGGCATGGTGCTGCGCTGCGGTGCCCCCCTCCCCCCCCCGTGGATGTGGTGTGGTGCTGTGATGGTTCAGAGGTCGTCGTCGTCGTCGTCGTCGTCGTCGTCGTCGTCGTCGTCGTCCTCGTCGTCCTCGTCGTCGTCGTCGTCGTCATCGTCGTCGTCGCCGTCGTCAGAGTCGTCAGAGTCGTCGTCGCCGCCGCCGCCGGCGTCGTCGCCGCCGCAGCCGTCGTCGTCGTCGTCGTCGTCGTCGTCGTCGTCGTCGCCGTCGTCGTCGTAGTCGTCGCCGTCGCCGTCGCCGTCGCCGTCGCCGTCGCCGTCGTCGACGTCGTCGTCGTCGTCGTCGTCGTCTCTGGGACCATACCATCTGGGGGGGGGGGGCCCGAGGAATCCCGGGACCATACCATCTGGGGGGGAGGGGGGGCCGTGGGCCTGGAGCCAGGGACCTGTTGAACAACGCCCGAAGCGGGGAAGGGGGCCCAAGAACAGGTGTGGGGAGAAGCTTCCCCCTCGCCCCCTCGCTGCCCGAGCACACAGACCCCCTAGAAGCCCTCGAGGGACAGCACGCAGCATACTTCTCTACACTGCTGGCAGTCTCCTCGGACCTGGAGCAGCGGCAGTGGCAATGACACGCCTCCGTGGGGAGCCCCAGCAGCGTGTCACTGCTGAAAAAGACGCCCTATTCTAAGGCAAGCAGCGACGGAGCAACGCGCCGGCAGGCTTCCCACGGCAGCGTGTCATTGGCACTGCTTTGCCACGTCGGAGCTTTCCCGGATCGGCGCTTGAAGCGTGCCATGGGCGGCGCCGGAGGCACCGCAAGATGGGCTCCAGCGTCGACGTCAGCAATGCGCGCTGGCCTCCCAAAACCTGTGTCCGCTCAATGACAGCGTGTCTTCTTCGACGCCAGCGGCGCTTGTTTTTCCGCGTGCTTCGATCGGGTGCGCCGAGGGGCAGGAAGAGGGGGGTGAGCGCATCCTG